AAAATCGGAAAAATCTCCATCATTAAAACTAATTATCCAGCAAATGTATTGGTATTTTAATATATTGGTTTTCTATGAAACAAATTTCTTATCTTCTAATTATTTATTACCTAATATCACTTGAATGTATTATAAAGTCACAAGCTAGCTGTCGTTTAAATAAACTTTGGAGAATCTAATTTAAAAGTATAATTTGGAACAGTCGTACATGTTGCTATATTTCCATTTCAGCAAGCTTTATAAAAATTGTGCTTTGATGTTAGTAATGTGCATGTAATCAGCTAATGATATATCCCAGTTTTTACAGTTACTACTTGAACTATATCAGTATGCTGAAGTAGAGAAAGTTATTCTGTATGGTGAACTTAATTCCTCATTTTTACACGTTTTCATTTCTCTACTTTGATAATTCCTTTTAAAGACTAAAATAATGTATAAGTTTGTAGAAGAAAACATTTCTATATACTCAGGGGTCCTCATTTCCAAGATAAATAAATTTGTGAGGTCAAGTAAGGGTGGTACTTACACGTTATCTACTAAGGTAGAGATAAGAAAATGTATGGGAATTATGTTCACCATACAACATAAATTTCTTCCCGTTATCTATTATTTATTAAACTGTGAAGGTTTGTTTGTAATTAAGCACAGAGCGATACAATGGGTTAGCTGTGCTCTGCCCATCACGAGTATCGAAACCCGGTTTCTAGCGTTGTAAGTCCGCAGATATATTACTGTGCCACTGGGGGGGGGGGTGCAAACTGTGAAAGTTGTTTTGAAAGATCAATAAGACTTTCTGTCTGGGTGCATTCTTACCTACCATGAGGCTATTTCCTTGTATTTGCTTTATAGCAAATCAAGAGTTGAAAAAGAAATTTTGAGTAACTTTCTGAAAAAATCGATGCAACTCTTACCCACGTCATGAACTACCCCCCCCCAACGCCACAATGACGTTAGCCGTTCCAAAACCGATTTACGAGGCTTCCCTGAGGTAGAAAAATGTGAAATTAAGTTCGTCATACATCTTAATTTTCTCTTCTTTGGCATCCTTTTTAGAACAACGACAAATTTTGAAAACGAGTAAATGGTTGTTTGTCATAATATGTTGGGAGAAACATTTAGGTTTTTGCAAATAAATTTGGGACCTTCAAAACTTAAAACTGTAAAACAACTTCAATTATTTATAACAAGTCTCTATGACCTTCTTTCAGGACCTTTACCACGAGCAGCGAGACAGCGTTTGCATTATGTTTGCTTCTATCCCTAACTTCAGTGAGTTCTATATGGAGTTAGAAGGTAATAATGAAGGAGTGGAATGTTTACGACTGCTAAACGAAATCATTGCGGATTTTGATGAGGTAATCCACTCTTCTCCTTTTCATATTTTTAATATATATTTCAGGAATGTGTATACGTTTTGTTGTAGACTATGTTCTGTATTTTTTTTAATTCAGATGTTTGTGTTCTTGTTTGGCAAGATGGAGTTTCACGTCACGTGATGAGCATATGGCTTAAAGAATAGAACATTTTTAAAATATAGAAAACGATTTGAACAGCATAAAAACGTGAGTTACACTAGAGTGGATAATGATTTATTATTGATTTTGTCAGTTTGTTACTATCAGATTAGTTTTGTGAATATTTCAACGAAGTATTAGAGATGCAAGAAGAACTTTATGAACGACAAAAGTGAGCAAGTAAGAGAAATTCTTGTTTGTTTGTAGATAAGCACAAAACTACACAATGGGCTATCTGTGCTCTGCCCACCACGAATATCGAAACCCGGTTTCTAGCGTTGTAAGTCTGCAGACATACCGTTATGCCACTGGGGATGGGGGCTGAAATTGTTCTCTTAGTGTCTACTGTAAACTTAGGCCTATCAGTAAACGTTAGTAAAACTAACTTGTATAAACTGAAGTTCAAGAAATAAAGTGACATTGTTATCAATAAGTAGACTGGACTTTGCATTACTCTTCATACAGAATAATCCAAAAAACTCGTCCAACAAAAACAAATATTACATTACTGGTGCAAGAATGGGATAATTTTGCTAAAAATTAAATCAAGGTTCAACTTCAAGATTACAACACATGATCGAAGAGAAACTGGAAATATAATGAAAATGACGAAACAGGAGGAAGAAGATCAAGACGAAAGAGACACAAAAGTTAAAAGAAAGAGAGATAAATCACAAGAGTGAGATATGAGATTTACCGAAGAAATAAACTGACTGAGGACAAGATTGACAAAACCACAATAAATGTAAAGTAGGACATCAAGAAAGTACAAAAGTGAGTACAAAACGACATCAACGAAGTACAGAAGGATTATAACAAAAAAATCAAAGTACAAAATGCATCAATGACTTGACAAATGCAAGGATCAAACCAGGCACACCCTTTCCTACATGTACTCGAGAATTACAACCGCAAATACATTAATTGTGCAATAGTAATTTAGCAGACCATTTCAATAATATCATCCAATTGAGAAACTAGCAGACTGTAATGAAAAGGTACCATGGGCAACATATTCAGCACAGATTAAAATTATTTCTAAGATAAATGGATGGGGTAATGAACAAAAAAACTATGCATCTTGTTGCACATATAAAAGGACCAGCTTCAACAACATTAAGCAACCTTCCAACAGAAAGATGTGACAACTATCAAGCATTAGTGGCCACTTTATCGAACAGATTTGGAGTGTCACATCAGAGGTAATTTTCTAAAGCAAAGTTCAGGAACAGAGTAAGTATTTTACTGAAGATGTAGAAAGTTTGTTTGTTTGTTTTGAATTTCGCGCAAAGCTACACGAGGGCTATCTGCGCTAGCTGTCCCTAATTTATCTGTGAAATACGAGTGGGAAAGCAGTTAGTCATCACCACCCACCGCCAACTCTCAGGCTACTTCTTTTAACAACGAATAGTGGGATTGACCGTCACATTATAACGCCCCCCACTGCTGAAAGGGCGAGCATGTTTGGTAAGACTGGGATTCAAACCCGCGACCCTCAGATTGCAAGTCAAGAACCCTAACCACCTGGCCATGCCGGGGCTAGATGTGGAGAGATTTGCCCGTTTATCTTATCCAGATGTTCCACATAGAAAAATAATCTTGGCAAATGGCCGATTCATAAATACCATATTGGATGAGGATATGCGAATTAGACTTAAGCAAAGTAGGTGTACATCTTTAAAGGAAATTGTCCAGTTGTTAATAGAAATTAAATCAATTAAATTTTCAGATAGATAACTCAAAGCATCATCTAAGTATCCTGGGATCATCAGATCAAACAGTGTGGGAATATCAACTCCCTCTGGTGGAGGTCTAGAAGAACTCAAAATATTAATTATACAGCTGTTTACTTAACTGCAAATTAAAAGGACATATTGCCAATAACTGCAGACAAAAACCTGTACAAAATAGAAGCTCCTAAAGGACGACATAAAAGTGTGAAACACTCACATTATAGTCTAGACTGTGATGAATCAATATATGAGAATAACCAAGGAGACAATACTCTGAGGATGAGTTACAGAACCCAAACATATCGATGAAACAACAAAGAGATAACCAAACATCTGAAACAAGAATTAGTTGGACTTAAAGGTTGATGTACAGTTGGGAATAATCCATCTGCCTCAACTGAGATAGGGAGTTTTTTATTTAACAAAATCAATACATGAGTCAAAAGATTCACTGATTAAAAGTCTATGATATATTAATAAATACTGGTTTTACAGCTACCATTATTCAACCTGGAAATATTTCATGCTGAAAAATAGATTTGAGATTAGACTCATTTCAAAGAGTTTCACAGTCTCTGAGCTTGGAAATCCCTGTATAATATAATGATAGTTACGCAGTTAGAGGTTAAACTTCCAATAACAAAAAAAAAAGGAAGGCAGTAATTATATCACCAAGAGGTGTTTATTTATTGGTTTTGAATTTTGCACAAAGCTACTCACACCTTATCTGCATTAGCAGTACATAATTTTGAAATGATAGACTAGAGGGAAGGCAACTAATCAACACCACCCACTGCTAATTCTTGGGCTATCCCACAGCTGAAAGGACAAGCATGTTTGGGAATGAGTTTGAACCCACAACCCTCAGATTTTGAGTCAAGTTCCCTAACCATCAGAATATGCTAGAACTTACCAAGAAGTGAATGCTTATACCAGGACTTATCTGGAACAACTTTAGGTTTAGTGACTGGGGGCATGTTAGGACCAAAAACTCAAGCTTGCCCTGAGGCATTATTGATCAGTAGAAATCTTGTAGATCTGAAAAATAAGGATGTCATAATTAGGGCCATGAACACAACAAACTACGAAATCTGAATCAATTATCGATGAAAGAGCACAAGATGTAAAATTGTAACATTTAATATATCTACACCATAGAACAACAGCATTAATCACCTTACAAATAAGATGTAGGAATACTGATGTTACATTCCACATAAAGGTGGGTTACCATCTCATCTTTAAGAGTTGTATGACAAGAGCTGTGAAAGTCTTGTAATTTATCAATGCTCACTTATTACATGGCTTACTCATGCCTTACTATCTTCTCTATTACTATGGCACTAGTATTCTGTGTGTGATTTACTTACAATTCTGGACGCGAGTTACCGTAATCGTTTGGTCTTCATTCTTCTGAAGATCCTCTGTTCCTTTTGCCAAAGTGCACATAGGCTGATTCAATTACTTTAGAACCACACTTTGACGGAATATTTTTTTTCTTATCTCCT